CCCCGCAGCCCAGCCCGCCCCCTCCCCCAGCCCCCGAGTGCCGGGATCCCTCAGCGACACCCGCCCTCCGCCATCGCCGGGGTCCCGTTGTCCCCCTGAGGGCTCTGGATTCCCCAGTCCTCCTCTCTCCCCCTGGGTGGTTGCCGTGGGCGTCCCACCCCGTGACTGGTGCTTCCCCCCCCCTGCCTGGCCCCGCAGGTGGTGAGGCTGTGCTCCAGCCAGGCCCCTGGCCCTGCCAGGCCCAGCAGGGGTGGGGGCATCCCCGGCAGAACTGTGGCCCAGCTCTAGTCCCCATGTCTAGGCCGGCAGCATCCCCACTGGTGGGGATGGTGCTGCTTCGCAGCCCCACTGCTGTAAGGGGCCCCGCGGGCAGCTATGGCTGGTGATGGCACCTCCATAATGCCTGCCAGTACGGGGCCTATCGCCAGCTTGTGCCTCTTGACCGCTTTTGTTTCCAGAGGTGGGAGTGGGCCCGCTGCACTGCAGTAGCCTCGCTAAGGGGCTGACTTGTGGCTAGTTCATGGCCTGTGGGTTCAAGGGCTTCCCAACACCCTGCTTAGAATCCTCCAGCAAAGCCTGTCCCCCTGGCTCGCTCTCTGTGGGCTGGGGGTGCTGGCAGGCGGAGAGGCTCCATGGGGCTTTTGGTTTTGGTGCCATTCATGGGCACTGCTTGTGCCAGGCCCTGTCTTTGCAGGGGAGATGGTTTGAAGGCACTCACCTCCCTCACCCAGCACCATCCCATCCTGGCAGGGAGCCCCGATGGACACGAGAGTGGAGCAGCACACATCCTGACCCCCACCCCACACGGCTGCCCCTGTGCCAGCCCCAGTGACTATGGACGAGTGGAAACCCAACCCTGCCATCAAGCCCCACAAGAAGCGGAGCTGGTACCTTGCCTGGAAATACAAGCTGATGAACCAGCGTGCGCTGCGGAAGCTGTGCCAGGTGAGTCACCGGCAGGCCTGCGGTGGATTAGGAACGATAATCTACAGGATTTACGAGTTTATGGAGCAGCTGCATGGATGGAAGTGGGTCTGCTGGCAGTCTGGGTGACTAACATGCAGGAGGAAGCATAATGTGTCCCCCAGAAAGCTACCTCTTGTGGCTTTGTGCTCATGCATGGAAAACTGCTGTGTCTAGCAGCTCATTTCAGCTGCAAATGGACCTGTTGGGTGACTGTGGCAGGAGATACAATTATCCAGGTATCCTTGAGAGGCTTGCAGCTAGAAACCTGACTCATTCCTCTCCTCCTGGTTCTGGACCCATGTCCAGTGTGACAGGGCTCAGCCTGCGGTGGGAAGCCATCCTTGCCCTGTTTGGTTTGCAAACCAAGCCTGGTATAAGGCACAACAGGTGGACAGAGAAAATAGGGCTGGGTAATGGGATCTTGTGCTCCAGAGGCAGCTGGCATCTGGGAAAGCTGCAGACCTGGTTGCTGAGCTGTAAAACAGCTAATGCTCAGCAGAGCCAGTGTCCCGGGTGGTGTCTGGGGGTGTAAAGACTGGAAGGGTTCAGCCCCATGGCAGTGAGCTGCAGAAAAGGGGCTGTTCCTGAGATGAGCAGAGCTCGTGAAATCTGGCAGCTGGTTGCTGTGGGAGGGAGCAGGGGAGGGTTTTGCATGTAAGGGCTCCCTGGGGAAGGAGTCTGCTTGGTCCTGCATCCCCTGGGGTGCTCAGGGCTTGGGGACAGGCGTCCTCATTCAGGCAGGTGTTGCTCATAGTCCTGGGGGCAATGGGCTAGAGCCTGCCTGCTGTCATTTATGTCCTTCATGGCACTGTTGTGGCTTAAAACACAGATGAAAATTGAATATCTAAACCAGAGCTGCAGGTGTGGGGTAGCCAGGTCTAGAGCAGCTGGGCCTCTTATCAGTGGCTCTGACTGAGCCAGCCTTGCTAGACCCAGCTGCTGGTCTCGCTTAGTGCTGCTTTGTTCATTCTGGTCACCAGGGCTGCTCCCCCGCATCTCCAGTACTGACCAGGGTGGAAGGTCTGGGCAGGTTGGTAAGGTAGCCAGCTTCTTGTCACAAGCCCAAGGCTCTGTTCATGCCTAATTAAAAGCTTTCTGTGCACAGATCCTGAAAGGTGCTCACTCCTGAGTCAACAGCAAATCAACAAGCCAAAATGCCATAGTGACATTTATATCGTCACGTTGTCTTATTGCTGGTTTTCCGTCTTCCTCTTCCTCAGTTACTTCTTGAACCCGTTTGGCTGCTTGGCTGAGATAGCAACAACACGTAGCTTGAGGCAGTAGCTGGCCATCTAGGACAGGGATCCTTTTAGTGCCTGTCACCAATGGCAGGCCTGTGTGTGATCTCAGCCCCATACCAGACCTCAGAGAATCAAGGGTCCTGGAGCTGAAAAAGGCACACATTTTTAGGAAGAAAGCTGCTCTGGGGTTGAGGGACAAGGGAGGAATCTCAAAATCACCCAAGACCTGTCTCAACATCCCCTTGCGGGGGCAACCAGGCTATGAGCAGCCTCCACCAACCTCTCCCCTCCTCTCCCTTGGTTGCTGTGACATCTCCACGCTGAGTCTTGAGATGCTCTGGAGAGGTTAATAGGACTCTGAACTTGCATGGCTGAAACTGGAAACCATCTGGTACGTCCAAAGTGTGGCTGGACCAAGGGGCCGGAGCTTTTGGGTCATGGGACTAATCTGTCATAGCACTCAGATTTGGGCCTCGGTGGAGGCTCTGCTGTGAGCTGGATGGGCCCTCCTGGCATGGAGACTGGTGGTGGAGCCCTGCAGCAGTGTTAGTTTTGGGGGTAACAGGTGCTCAGGGCTTTGTGTCTTGAATCCAATGGCAAAGCCTTCCCTCACTCTGTGACTATCCAGGGCAGCTTTTGGGCTCCCTGCT